GTTAGACTCTACTGTTATCTGATAAACTGCTCCTCATTCTAACTTGCCTGCTGTGTGAAACTGTAGCAGCAGGCGAGTTAGATTGAGCAGCTCAGCCAGATAAACAAAAATTACATTTTCTCAAAACAATCAACATACAACATAAAAAAAACACATTACGTTTTATTAAATAAACTTTTAAAAAACAAGAAATGAAAATTTGATGACAGTTTTCCTTTAAGCCCATGGGGTCTGGGAGCCAAAGGGACTGCTGAAGATTAATGCATCTAAAATGCAAGTAAGGACCAGGCTGGACTTTTTTCTGACAGTTTATTTGGACTAGATAGAGGAGTATTGACTGGAAACTGGCATGGGAGTACAGGCTGAAAGAGGGGATTCAATGGAAGTATTAATTAGAAACATGACATCATTAGACTAGACTAGAAACAAGACTTGTTATATTGGACTTAACATTGAATATACAACTGAGGTTGTAATCTTGACAAGAGCTTGACCTGGTCGACAGCTGCAATGACTATGCAATACAACTAGATATTGGAACCAAAAAGATTAAAGGGACACTGTAGACACCCAGCTCATTGAAGTGGTCTGAGTGATGTGTCCCTTTTGCCCCTAGTGCTGCAATGTTAAACATTGCAGTTCTAGAGAACTGCAATGTATACATTGCAGCTCTAAGTCTTCCCTCAGTGGCTGTCTACTAGACAGCCACTAGAGGGCTTCTGTAATCGTAACGGACTTTTGGTCCGTTATCTGACGCTGGACGTTCTCACGCTCTGCATGAGGATCTCCACCGTCAGATTTTCCCCATATGAAAGCATTTAAAAATGCTTTCCTATGAGGAGGTCTAATACGCGCGCAGCATTTGCCGCGAATGCACATTAGACCCCGCTAGTCGATGGACGGAGGAGAGGGGGAAACTTTGGCGGGGGACATCGGCGCTGGGTTCAGGTAAGTAAATAAAGAATTTTAACCCTTTATTTACCGGGTAGGAGGGGGCACAAGGGAGGGGGGAGGCAGAGGGATCGGAAGTGCCAGGAATACAGCTTTGTACTCCTGGCACTACAATATCCTTTTAATTGTAAAAGTGACATGCATGCAGAAGAACCTGCTATTGATAACCACTGTGCCAATGGATTTTGCTTGGTACCATTAGCTAAAGAGAAAAAAAAATTTAAAAAAGAGAAAAATAGGTAGCAAGAGAGGTGAGAATGGACAACAGCTCAATTAGCCTGCCCTTCGTTGGGTCCCCGCTCAGATCTCAAGCTGGTTTTAGCTCATCTTGTGCCATTACAGAGAGAACATATCTGAAGCATATCAGCCTGGTCTCACCTGTACGGGTAGTCCAGGCCCTGCCACTTCCTCCCTACACTAGTTGCGGCTACCACTTTAAAGGGGCCCAGTCATGCTATTAAAGGGCTGCAGCCCTGAACGGGTCATTAAAGACACATGCCAATCGGGTGGCCCGATGATGTGAGCAATGCAGGTGCCTAGAGCAGGTAAGTTTGTTACACGAAGCCCCAGATGTGAGACTCTCTACTAGTGCAGGGGACAGAGCGTATTAGCATTTACTTAATTTTAAATTTTACTCACAATAACTGGCTAATATAAAAAAACTAATATCAGTAGTATAGTGTTTCATAAGGTAACTGTCAGGAGGGTGTGCTTGGAATCAGAACTTTGCTGTACACCCTTCTATTAGTTAAATAGTGTGATAAGACTAAACTGAATACCTGACTGAGTAGCAAGTGCCTAATTCCAGCTATGCTTCAACTATGATCATGGAGAGCATAAGCAGAACACTGTTTATGGGTAGAGGGGACAACATAGAGAGCAGGAATTTGTCATGACATACCCCACCTGTCTGTTAGTGTAGTAGATAGCACTTTTTATTTTGGCTCAAGCCCCCATGTGTTTCTGGAACCTAGCAAACCTTGGAAGAGGTACAGATCAAATGACAGTGTTTAGATAATTAAAGGAACTAAAAAAAATCTGCATTCAGTGCCCAACTGGCATACAATGTCACAGCAGAGGTATGGAAGTACACTGAAAAATCATATTGGCTCATAGAAAGTCCTTCACCATCAGTTGCCTTCATAGTTACATAGCTGTAAAGAGACTTGTGTCCATCAAGTTCAGCCTTTCTCACATATGTTTTTGCTGTTGATCCAAAAGAAGGCAAAAAACCCAGCCTGAAGCGCTTCCATTTTTGCAACAACTAGGAAAAAATTCCTTCTTGACCTCAAAATGGCAGTCAGATATCTCCTTGGATCAAGCAGCTATTACCCCACAAATTAGAAATTATATCCCTGTATATTATGTTTTTGCAATTATTTATCCAATTGCTGTTTAAACATCTGTATGGACTCTGATAAAACCACCTCTTCAGGCAGAAGAGTCATGTCTACAAATGCTTGCAGTTTAGGGAATAAGATCCATGAACTTGTGTCAATAATGGCATTGGCAACTGATAATGTAGATTTAGTTGCTGTTACTGAGACATGGTATAATGAGAAAAATGACTGGAACATAGCAATACCAGGGTACTCTTTATATAGAAAAGACAGGGAAAGCAAGAAAGGGGGAAGGGTGTCCCTGTATGTGAAGGATAGCATAAAATCTAGCCTAATAAAAGTTACTGAGAACATAGAGTCCGTTTGCGTTATGTTAGAATTTGATAATCACACGATAACCTGTGTAAGTGTGATTTATAGGCCCCCAGGACAAATAAAAGAGTTAGATAATCTATTAGTTGAGGAAATAGCTAAAATGACAATGAAGGGGGAAGTTATCATCATGAGTGACTTCAATCTTCCTGATGTGAACTGGAAAACCAAAAAAGCTGCTTGTGCCAGGAGCACACAAATTCTAAACTCCCTACTGGGATTGTTTCTAAAACAAGTCGTTGAGGAGCCAACTCGCAAAGAGGCCATATTAGATTGTGTTAACAAATGGAGATTTGGTACTGAAGGTGAAAATATTAGGATCCAGTGATCATCAGTCAGTGTGGGTTAATATAAGAACAGTGACACAGTCACACCACGCAAAAACGAAAGGTTTTAGACTTTAGAAAACCAGATTTTTCTAAAATTAGAATATGTGTAAAGGAGTTATTATCAGACTGGAGTAGTTTAAATGGAGTCCAAGAGAAATGGGATTATTTAAAAGTTGCACTGGTAAAGTTAACAGAAGATTGCATTAGGCTTGTCAGTAAAAGCAAAAAATTTAAGAAACCACTGTGGTACTCCGCAGATGTGGACAAAATAGTAAAAAGCTAAAAGTTAGCATTTAGTAATTAGAAAAAAAACATAGTGAGGAAGATAGACAGATCTATAAGATTAGGCAGAAAGAGGCTAAGCAAGTTATACGTGCTTCCAAATCACACACAGAATAGAAAATAGCACAGTCAGTAAAAACAGGGGAAAAAACTTTTTTTTGGCTACATACATGAGAAAAGGAAAGTAAAACAAGGATTAGTTAGATTAAAAACAAAAAAGGAAGGTATGTAGAAGAGGATTACGTGAGTTGGGCTGCTGTATAGTAGTAGTGGAGGTGTGGGAGTCCCAGACCTCCGGCAGTTTTGGGGCGGTATAGTATATTGCGTGCCACCCGATGCCTCTTGTTTTGCCATATAAACCTGTCTATTTACCTTTGTAGGGGTACCAGGTCTTTCTTAGTGAGCGGCATGGGTAGGGCTTGGAATAGGAATAGTATGCGGGGGAGGATTTTTATTTTTATTGAGTGTATTCTACCCATCCATTATATTGGTTTGTCTGTCCACCTCTCCATGTCACATGTCAATGCCCGTATGAGAGGGGTGTAGTTGGCCTGGTATAGGGTCTTTGGGTTAGCTGTGAGGTTTATCCCCAGGTATTTGATCTGGTTGTGGCTAGTCGTATATTGTAACTGCTGATGTGTGCCATGTCTGCCACCGAAAGGTCTAAGGGGAGGGCGCTGGATTTCTCCATGTTCACTTTGTAGCCTGACAAGTCTCCGTAGATGGATAAGAGTTGTACCAGGGCTTGCATGGATTATTTGGGTTTTCTTAGCATAAGGATACATCATCTGCGTATCCTGAAACTACAAAGTTATGGTCTCTAATTTTTACTCCGTGAATGGAGTGGTGACTGCGAATGGCTTGTAGCAGGGGCTCTAGTTACATCACAAAAAGCAGTGGCGAAATAGGGCAACCCTGCCTCATACCATTGTTACGTGTTCCAGATAGTGTGAGCTGCGCTGTGACGTTGGTGTACATGGCTTGCACCGTGGTTATATAAGTGTCTGGGAAGTTCAAGTGTTTCAGTAATTGAAACATGTAGGACCATTATACTCTGTCAAATGCATTTTCAGCATCCAGGGACAGTATTAGAGCTGGGGTAGCCGTAGTTATTAGCTTCCATATCAGGTCTATGTTTCTACCTGGTCTGCATGGATTAGATGTGTCAGGAGTGGGTTTAGTCTGTCTGCTAGTATTTTAGCTAGGATTTTTGCATCCTGGTTTAGTAGGGAGATGGGTCGGTACGCTGTGGGTAGAGTGGTGTCTTTGTCAGGAATTGGTAGCAGGATGATGCTTGCTAGGGCCATGCCGCTATTGGGGGTTCCTCCCTGCATTAGGTCATCAAAGAGTGTAGTCAGTTGCGGGGCTAGTTCCTGTCAGAAGATTTTATAGTACCCGCCTTCAAATCCGTCTGGTCCTGGGGCCTTACCCCCTTTTATTTTATCGCTGCCTCAACCTCGTCTGTTGTGGAGGGCGATCCCAGTGCATGTTTAGCTGTTGTGGGCAGTTTGGGACGGTGCAGGTTGTCTAGAATGGAGCAAAGCTCTGGCATATCTTTGTCTGCTGCTGTCTGGTCTCCTTGAAACTTGGTGTGGTTATACAAAGATGTGAAAAATTCAGTGAAGACTCAGGAATAGTGATGTCCCGAACGGTTCGCCGAACGGTTCGCGAACGGTTCGCCACGGACTCATCATTGAGTAAACTTTGACCCTGTACCTCACAGTCAGCAGACACATTCCAGCCAATCAGCAGCAGACCCTCCCTCCCAGACCCTCCCACCTCCTGGACAGCATCCATTGTGAAGCTGCATTCTTAATGGATGCTGTCCAGGAGGTGGGAGGGTCTGGGAGGGAGGGTCTGCTGCTGATTGGCTGGAATGTGTCTGCTGACTGTGAGGTACAGGGTCAAAGTTTACTCAATGATGAGTCCGCGGCGAACCGTTCATGGCGAACCGTTCTGCGAACCGTTCGGGACATCACTACTCGGGAAATGTCTTCGGGGGTATTTGCCAGGGAGCCGTCATGTGTTCGGATCACAGTTATATGGGTGCTGTGTTGTCGTGGTTTTAGTGAGCGGGCCAGTAGTGTGTCCATTTTGTTGGACTTTTCGTAAAAGGGTCGGCGGGACCACTGCAGGGCTTGTGCTGTGTCTTCTAGGAGCAGATCCCTGATTGAGTGTCTAACGGCTTGTAGTTCTGTTAAGTGGCCTGTAAGGTTGGTCTGTTTTGTATTGTTGTTCTAGTTTGCGAAGCATGTCTAGAAGTTAGGTTAAGAGTTTTGTTTTTCGTTGTTTCTTTTTTGCGGGTAGCTATTTTAATGCTTTATGACCCGCCCAAGTTGTGCTTATTGGGACATCGGGTGTTCGGTTGATTTGGAAATATTCCTTCAATTCCTTATGGATATTGGTCTGCTCCCCCCCGAACACCGCCAACCCGAAGAGAGGGGAAGAAGGGTAGTAGTCGAAAGGCAGTAGTAGAGAAGGTGAAAGGGGAGGGTAGTAGAACAGTAAAAGAAGGGATTGTGCAATCAGTCTGGTCTTATCCAATGCCAGACGGTGGTGGGGTGCATGAGCCCCGGCATCACCTGGATCGGAATCTATAATGAGGCGGGGATCATGGACCAGAGAACTTCTTTGATGTTGGTGTGCTGTGCCTTTTTTTCGCCACACATAGTGTTGTGTGTTTCTTCCAAACAACTCAACTTTGGTTTCATCTGTCTACAGAATATTTTGCCAGTACTGCTGTGGAACATCCAGGTGCTCTTAGGCAAACTGTAAACATGCAGCAATGTTTTGTTTGGACAGCAGTGGCTTCCTCTGTGGTATCCTCCCATGAAATCCATTCTTGTTTAGTGTTTTACATATTGTAGATTCGCTAACAGGGATGTTAGCATTTGCCAGTGACTTTTGTAAGTCTTTAGCTGACACTCTAGGATTCTTCTTCACCTCATTGAGCAGTCTGTGCTGTGCTCTTGCAGTCATCTTTACAGGACGGCCACTCCTAGGGAGAGTAGCAGCAGAGCTGAACTTTCTCCATTTATAGACAATTTGTCTTACAGTGGACTGATGAACAGCAAGGCCTTTGGAGATACTTTTATAACCCTTTCCAGCTTTATGCAAGTCAACAATTCTTAATCGTAGGTCTTCTGCGAGTTCTTTGTGTGAGGCATCATTCACATCAGGCAATGCTTCTTGTGAAAAGCAAACCCAGAACTGGTGTGTGTTTTTGGGCCTCTGCGCTAAGGATGGCCCATGGGTCTCAGTATATCATGTGGCTTGTGTTGTACAGTGGGCGACGTGGGGGGCGACCCCATGAAGCTGGGAGGCCTCTGAGTCGTTCGGGAAGGAAGGCGCACGTGGGCTCAATCCGTCGCCATCTTGTGCTTCGTGTTGCGCGGCGCGAGAGGCCGCAAACAGTCCCGCCACCGTGTTACTCGGTTCGGGGTACTTTTTGGAGGGCTTACGGGGCAGTTCATTTATCCATGGTGCAGGATAAGGTCTTTCAGAGGTTTTTTAAGTATTATAGAGGATTTTAAGTTAGCTTTTGGTATGAGGTCCAGCAGAGAGCTCTAAGCAAGATGCGTCCAGCTTTTTCTTCAGTCCCACTTTTTCCAAACTTTTAAAAACTTTCTAAAACTTTTCAATTTCCTAGCTACCCTAATGCTAGATTCCCCAATTTCCCCTAGTTTCCACCCACCCCAGCTAACTTAATAACTGAAAATAAAAGTAAAAAAATAATAAATTAAATATATTTAACCCCTGAGGGTTAAAAGAAAAATAAAGTTAACCTCTGAGGATTACCAAAAAAACTCTGATCACAGTAAAGTACTGTGTCTGTCAGGGACACAAAGTTGCACACGAGCCATCTCGCTCTACTTCAACACACACACAGAGGCGGAGGGAGGCGGATCAGAAGTCCCAGCAGCACTGTGATCGCTGTGACTGGCTCCCAGCAACAGTGTTAACCCCATGATCACGGCGATTTGGCGTTAACTTTAGTAACTTTTCCATCAAGCGTCCTTAAAGGTAGGTCTACCTTGATGGAAAATTTCCGTCAAGCGTCGTTAAGGGGTTAAATTAGAGGAGCAAAGGTTTAAAAATAATATCAGGAAGTATTACTTTACTGAGAGGGTAGTCGATGCATGGAATAGCCTTCCAGCTGAAGTGGTAGAGGTTAATACAGTGAAGGACTTTAGGCATGCGTGGGATAGGCATATGGCTATCCTAGATATAAGATAAGGCCAGGGACTAATGAAAGTAGTTAGAAAATTGGGCAGACTAGATGGGCCATCACATTCTATTATCTGCCGTCACATTCTATGTGTCACGCCTCCTGCCAGGTCTGCTCCTGCCAGAGAGCGTTATGGGTCCCGGCAGGCGCGTCTCGTTGTGGCGGCATTCCCACATCGCAAGCAGAATGTCGCCGAATACTCACCCTGTCTCTAGGCATCTGCCGGGTCCTCTCCTGCCCAGGAACGGACTGGGACTGAGCTGGCGCATCTCATTGTGGCGGCATTCCCATGTGGTAATGGGATTGCCGCCAATCTCTTATCACCTCCTGCAATACCTGCTGTCCACTGACAGACACTCCTCCCATCACACAGCGCTGGGTCTGTAATTATTAGAGGGGCCAGCTGCTGCAAGTAGGAACCTTTTAAGGTTCTTGCTTTACCCTATGAGTGCCTAACTTTGGAAACGTGTGTATGATGTCACACACGCAGGGGCGGACTGAGGACCCTCAGGGCCCCCGGGAAAAATAAATCAAGGGCCCCCTTACAGGCCCCACCCATGCTCTGCAGCAAGCCCCACCCTTGTCCCGCCTCCAGCCACACCGTGCACAATCTTTAGACACAAGGAACAAAAGTGCAATAATCCCCTCGAGGCCCCAGTAGAGACTACAATTGAGGGCTAATGGGCCATGGAGGGGGGTCTTTCTAGTAGAGGCTATCTCAGTGTCCTTTATAGAGTGTGTTAGAAAGAATCCCCTCCAGGCCCCATTAGAGACTACAATGGAGTCTAATAGGCTTGGAAGGGGGTCTTTCTAGCAGATGCCATCTCAGTGTCCATTAAATAGCCTCTGCTGGAAACAGTCACCTCCAGGCCCCAGTAGAGACTACAATTGAGGGCTAATGGGCCATGGAGGGTATTTCTAGCAGAGGCCATCTCAGTGTCCTTTAGAGAGTGTGTTAGAAAGAATCTCCTCCAGGCCCCATTAGAGACTACAATGGAGTCTACAATGGAGTCTTCCTATTCACAATATAGCAACACAACATAGCTCGCTGATACCTAGGCCAAGTTGGCTCCTCTTACCTTAACTGCTGTTGCTGGCTGGCAGTCTGTGGGCTTTCTGGAAGGATGTGGGCTTGCTGGCTACTGCCGGCGGGCTGTGGGCTTGCTGGCTACTGCCAGCAGGCTGTGGGCTTGCTGGCTGCTGCTGGCAGGCTATGGCTTGCTGGCTGCGGCTGGCAGACTCTGAGCTTGCTGGCTGTAAGCCTGTGGCTTGCTGTAGGTCTGTGGGCTGGCTACTGGGGCACTTGTAGATTATTTAAATAAATAATCCATGCACAATAACCACTGCTGCTCTGTTTAGTGGATTTAAGAACAGTTTGAAAACTTACTTGGGGTCTGCTGGGATATGGGGCTGTAGTAGGGTATAGGGTATAGGAGCAGTGGTGCAATGTGTGAGGGGTGCAGTGTGTGTGAAAGGTTCAATGTGTGTGTGTGGGGGGGGTGTAGTGTGTGAATGTGTAGGGTGTCTGGGGCAATGTGTGTATGGGGGGGCTGTGTATGTGTGTGGCAATGTTAGTATGTGGGGCTGTGTATGGGGGTCTGTGTGTGTATGTGTGGGCAGTGTGTATGATGTGTGTATGGTGTGTGTGGGGGCAGTGTGTGTGTGTGTGGTTGGGGGCAGTGTGTGTATTGTGCTAGAGTTCACTCTCACTACTGCTCTGTGCTCGCGCAAGAAGAACCAGTGGAGCTGCAGGCTGAGCTCCCGTGTCCTCTCTTCCTCCCGCCCCTGTCTCCCCCTCTGTCTCTTTCTCCCTCCTTTCTCTGTGTCACTCTCTCTCCCCCTCTGTCTCTTTCTCCCCCCTTTCTCTGTGTCACTCTCTCTCCCCCTCTGTCTCTTTCCTTACCCTCCCCCTGTGTCTCTCTATTCTCCCACTGTCTGTTTCTTCCCTCTTCCCCTGCTTCTATCTATTCCCCCTCTCTGTTTTATTCCCCCCCTCCCATTTACCAAGAGAAGACAGAGGGGCCCGGCCGTGTTCCACGCTGGAGCCGCCGGACCGGGTGGCAGCCTCGCCGGGCGGGCAGCACTCCTGTCACTAATGCTGAGGACGGAAGGAGGGAGGAGCATGTCTCTCCCTCATGCTCCCTTGCGGTTCCCACATCCTGTGCTGGGAATTGTGGGAACCGCAAGGGAGCATGAGGGAGAGACATGCTCCTCCCTCCTTCCGTCCTCAGCATTAGTGACAGGAGTGGAACACAGCCGGCCCCCTCAGGGTGTGCCACCGGACTGGCTACCCGGTGGCTCCTTCTTCCGCAGTTCCCAGATGCTGCCCCCAATCCAGCCCTGCCGCCGGGCCCCCTGATGGCAGCCCTGGCGGCGGGCCCCCCTCCCGGCCGGGCCCTCGGACCATGTCCGATGTGCCTGACCGGTCAGTCCACCCCTGCACACACGTTCACTTTCACAGGCTCCCCTGCAGCCAATTAAGGAGCACCTTAGGCTTTTTAAACCCTTTTCCTTAATTTCTCTGTGCCCTGTCGTGGTTTCCATTCTGGTTATCCGAGAGCGCATTACTGGTATTGTTTCTTGTGTAATTTGACCTTGGCTTTGTTATTGACTATTCTGATTTCTGTACCCCTTGAACTTTGTCTTGGGTCCTGACT